TGTGTGTGTGTGTGTGTTTCTGTGCGTGCACATGCATGCGTGCATATGTGCAAATATGTGCATGGTTTTAATTTTAAGTGAATTTTTATTCCGAGGAGTAGATAAAATAAGTTATCCAGGTCCTCCGACAGACCTTGTCAGAGTAGGGGTATCAGCTAATCTTGAATGTCGGTCCACAGGAATTTAGTGATTGAAATAACAGAAGTTTTATTATAAGTTGATTCCAATTACTAGACAGTTGATGAGTAGGATGCAAAGTACTGTAGCTACCAGTGGTCTGATATTGTCATTTATTTCCCAAAATCTATTCAAAGTTTTTTGAATAAATGTGTAAGTGTCTGAGGCAATAGTAGGAAGACATTACAGCCACATCACTGGAGGTCTTCAGTTTTTTGCTGTGTGATATTGGGCAATTTACTTAACCTCTCTTTGCCTCAGTTTCCTCTCCTTAAGTTGCAGTACCTATCTTTTAGGGTTCTTGTGAAGACTAAATGAGCGAATGCTCACAAAAACATCTAGACTAGTGCCTGTGAGATTATGACATAAACTTTAAAAACTAAGATCCAAGTTTTGGAATGAGTTTCTATTTTCAATAACATGAAATATATATAAATATTTAGTAGAAGATAAAGGCACTCTAATTGACACACTGTACAAAACCCATTATGCAGAGTCAACATAGTCTGGAAATGCGAATCAGGAAAATTAAATAAAGGTGACTGAATTCAGAGCAAAATGCACTGAGAATGAGACATGGACATCTCTGGTACCTTAATCATTCCCATACTCAAAGCCATGTCTTTTCGATGTACCAGTGTTTTTTGAACATGTAACATGAAGTCTAGAAATAGTTACACCTCCTCAAATGCCTAAACCAATAGCCTGGACATTGCTCTTCATTCTTTTCATTACTGAGTGGAATTAAGAATAAGGGCATTTGGGGGCAGCCAGTTAGCTCAGTTGGTTAAAGCACAGTGTTCATAACACCAAGGTTTGCCAGTTCGATCCCACATTGGCCACTGAGCTGCGCCCTCCACAACTAGATTGAAACAACTACTTGACTTGGAGCTCATGGGTCCTGGAAAAACACACTGTTCCCCAATTAAAAAAAAAAAGAAGAATAAGGGCATTACATCATCAAAAAGACAAGAGATAGATAACAAATGCTGATGAGGATGTGGAGAAAAGGGAACCCATGTGCACTGTTGGTGGGAATGTAAATGGGTATAACTCCTGTAGAAAACAGTATAGATGTTCCTCAAAAAACTAAAATTAGAACTACTATATGATACAGCAGTCCCACATCTGGGAATATATCCAAAGGAAATAAAAACACCAATTTGAAAAAATATCTGCCTCCTATGTTTATAGCAGCATTATTTACAATAGCCAGGACATGGAAACAACCTAAGTGCTCACTGATGATGAATGGATAAAGACATTGTCTCTCTCTCTCTCTCTCTCTCACACACACACACACACACACACACACACACACACACACACTTTGGAGTATTAGTCAGCCATAAAAATGACGAAGTCCTACCATTTCCAACAACATGGATGTACCTTGAATACATTATGCTAATAAGTCGGAGAGGGAAAGACAGATACTGTATGACCTCACTTATATGTGGAATCTAAAAAACAAAACAAAACAAAAACCTACCAAACTCAGAAAAACAGATCAGATTTGTGGTTACCAGAGGCAGGGGGTGGGGGAAGGGGAATTGGAGGAAGGTAGTCAAAAGGTACAGACTTCCAGTTATAAGAATAATAAGTACTAGGGATATAGTGTACAGCACGATGATTAGAGTTAACAGTATGACATATAGGAAAGTCATTAAGAGAGTAGATCAGGAGGTAACATTTTTATTTCTTTTATTGTAGCTATATGAGATAATGGATGTTAATTAACCCTGTTGTGGTAATCATTTCCTAATATATATAAATCAAACCATCACCTTAAACTTATACAATGATGTATGTCAATTATTTCTCAGGAAAACTGGGGAAAAAAGATAAAACTGAACACAAAAGAAAAAAGAATAAGGGCCTTACCTCATCTTGAATGCCACTCAATCGGAATTTAGTGATAGAAATAAGGTTTGAAGGACTATGTCATACCAAAGGTCTGATAGGAATTACTAATTTGATACTAATTATTTCTCTAATTTGCATTAACTAGAGAGAAATCTAAGTCTCATGGTTGTGTTAAACATCATGTCAAACATAAGATGAAATCTGAAAAAAAAATCCACTTGACATGCTTTTTCCAATGTACTTATTTTATAAACAAAACAACAGTGTTGAAAGTGTTCACTTTTAATTCAGCTGTATAGATTTCTCTACATACCTAAAACACATAGTCTTCTAGTTGGATATGAGGTGAACAGTTATAGATTAAGCATGTTAGTGCATGGTTGCCAAGGAAACATTTATTTTTTTACCTCAAAGCTGAAATTTACAGTAATTATTAATATATGAGCTAGCAGTGTATTCTATAATTTCTGATTTACAAAATAATTAAATGCTAGGAGCACTTACCAATGAACATGTTTTTATCAAGTTTTCATAGCCTTGGTAATATTATTTCTGAAAATGACTCCCAAATCCCCTTGTCCATCAAGATTTCTGTCTAAGCCCCAGTTTTTCGTTCTGCCCTAACCGATCTGCCTGGATGACTGCCGACCACCCATGGCAAAGCTGGAAGTTACTGTCTTTTCCCATCCCTTCCCTTCACAAGGTTTAGCTTTTATGTTGTTGAATCCACCACTGTCTCCTGACCATACTACTCTGAGAGGCTGAACACAGAGCTGTTTAGCCTCTCAGGCCTCAGTTTCCCCTTCTGTGAGATAAGGGGGGTGATCCAGTTCCTCTGAGAGATCTCCTCTGGCTTTAATTCTGCCACGTGAGTCCCATGAGTACAGTCTTTCCACTTCTATTACTTGCTCATCTACTTCTGTAAGCATTCTGCCTTGAGCTCTCCCCATCCCTCCTTTACTTGTCAAATCTAATTACTTGCAGCCCGTGTTCTCTGCCAATTTGCTCCCACCTACCTCACCTCCTTCATTCACTCTCCTCTTGCCAGTTCCCTTCAGTGCAAGCAAGCCTTCTCCTGCCCTCTGTTCCCCAGTCCCACGCCCTCCCCCAAAACTTCTTCCATGCTCTTTTCTAGGCCACAAATAGCTGCCTAGTCTGTCTGTCAGGCAGCCCCACCTAACACCTAAATAGATGTGATCTGGGCATGGAAGCTCGGGTCCTTTACCGCCCTGTACACCTTTAGACCTCTGGTAAAAAACAGATACTATTTGGAATATTCATATGTTAATGTGAATGTTTTATGACCCACAATCATAGTTTTACTATTTTGTGTATATAAAAACCTTTAGTAGGTTTTTTCCACTTGCAGAAGTCATCTATGCTCATTAAAAAAAAAAAAATTCATGAAACCCAGAAAATATATGAAGAGGCAAAAAAAGCTGCCTGCAATCGCACCTCTTAGTGATGGCCATGGTTAAAATTTAAGCGTTCAATATGCATTTAATGGTTCTTAAAAGGCTGATATGAGCCTTTATAAGGTTGCATTTGGGGTAGATGGTGGATTAAACAAATAGTAGCAATAATACTGGCTCAGGCCATTTCAGAAACCAGAGGCAAAGCATTTACAAGAATCTTTTTAGTACTTTTTGATTTGATATTTGACTTAGACTGGAATTTTATTTTAGGGGTGAGGCAGGTGATTGTTAAGGTGAAGTGATACAGAGCTTTTCACATTGAATTGAAGGCAGCTTTGCTCACAGGGATGCCCTGGGTATAGACTTTATGTGGTTTCTTTTCCATTTAGATTCCACAAAGAATTTTTTATCACATATAATTTAAATGTAACCTGAAATAGCTGCCCCTTAAAAATAGCCCTTAATTAAATTGCATCGAATTGTGTAATCTGTATATTTTTATAATATACATGTATTGCACATTCTATTTTATAAATACAAAGTAAATTCTATTAATGTGCTATTTAGGTACCTTCAGTGCTTCAGGAAGAATAAATTCGATTTGCTTTTTATTATGTTATTTTATTGCCATATGTAATCATACAATATGTACCTTATTTTAAGTAAATAAATTGACTGAAATAAGATCCCAAGTACAGATGGCAGAAGTGCCTCATTCTTTGTATTCCATTTTGCTTTCTTTCAAACTTATTTTCCAGCTTATAGATGAATAATCAAGTCTAAAGTGTTTTACAAAAATAGTAGGAATTAATGTGACCCTTAAAACAAAATGCATTGTTACTTCTGCTCAGAGTATAGGGGTTACTTGTTCCAATGGTGCATTCCATAAATCCCTGGTGTCTTGGGAAACAGCCCTGGTGTTTATTGCATCAGGAACTGCTTTCACTTGACAGAATGTTAATTGTTGTGTATTCTTCACTTTTGTGATCACCAGGTTCTCTTATTCAAGTACCTTCTGTTGAGAAGGGGAAACTTAGTAAAGTTCGCCTGGGTTCATTGTCTTTGAAAAAAGAAGGAGAAAGACAATGCTTTTTATTTACAAAACACTTTTTAATTTGTACAAGAAGTTCAGGAGGAAAGCTGCATCTGCTCAAGGTACTGGTTTTACGTGGCTATTCCATTTATGTTTCATGCACTTAAGAAGCATCGAGGTTAATTTAATAATGACGTTCCCATGCCTGGTATCTTAAAACATTGTCACAATTGCATAATGAGGTAATGTATAGTTACCAACCTTCGCATTTACTTTGTTGTCACTTGGATCCAAAGTGATAGATATTTAAGTACCATAAAGAAGTGTAATTAAAATCATAACCATAACAACATTATTATTAGTTGATGACTACTGAGCTACAAAAATCTTATCAAATTACTACAGTGCACTGTTGCAATGTTTGCTAAATGCTATTATATCTTGCTCTATACCAGGAGTCAGCAAACTATGGGCCACTGCTTGATGCCTATTTTTGTTAATAAACTTGTATTGGAACACAGCTACGGTCATTTGCTTACATTTTGTTTGTGGCTGCTTTCATGCTTTGTAAAATGGCAGATTTGAGAAGTTGAGATGGAAATCATATGGCTTTACCATTTGGCCCTTTACAGAAAATGTTCACCCATCTATACCTTCTGTTATTTGTGCCTAAAAATATTGCCCATTGCCATGATGAAGGCTTTCTACTGCTTCAGCCACTTCCTGGCTGGTGAGCTCAGCCTTTGCTGAGCTGCATTCACTGTGAAGGGCCCCTGTCATGCCATCTAGCCTCCCATAGACTGACTTCCTAAATTCTATAAACACTGGGAATGAGTGAGTTGGAGAAAAATCATGAAGTGAAATGAGTTTAATTATTTTTACACACCTAAATTTAATTTTGGAATCTATTAAAAATTTTATTTATGGTATAGAATTACTATGCTTCCTTCTGTGGTAACTTGAGCATAAGACTTTCAAGTCAGAGCTTCCCAACCTATGCAAGATTCTCAGCCTCTTAATGAAAAATTGGTTTCTTTCCAGACAGGTGGGGTTCTCTCTCTAATAGAATGTACCTTGATTGAGGAGCCCGATGCAAGTGATGATGACTGTAAGTCACATTCTATCAGTTAGAATTATATTACAATTAAAAAATCCTATGGGTTTTATTTGTTTACAGCTAAGAAAGAGCTGCTTAAGGAGGCAGTTGAGATGCTGAGGTCATTCCTGAAGTCCTTTGTATATGAGAAATTCTATTGCACCATTTAACCTGTAAACCTTGTTAAAACCATCTTTGAGAATTCCCATTTTACTGAATTTGTCTCATGATAGTAATTTTTCAGTGTCAGGCAGAGAAGAAAGGAATTGAATTAGAGCATTAGAACTCTGTAGATTTTCATGAAGATTAAAAACAAATGAAATGAGAAGGAGATCAGGACCCTAGTTCTGAGGAACCTACCGGCCTCAGCTTCTTCATCTGCTATGACCTAAACAAAGCCTCCCCTGTGCCAGAGAAGTACCGTAGTGCTGAAATGAGGTTCTGGACTTGAGCATCAATTGTATTACTAGAAGCACGTGAAAGCAGCTATCCCTCATCTTTTTGTATTCACATCTAATTGTTTGGTTTACGTGTGTTGAAGCCAAAGGTTCTGGGCAAGTGTTTGGACACCTGGATTTCAAAATAGTGGTGGAACCTCCAGACGCTGCCCCTTTCACTGTAGTCTTGTTAGCACCTTCACGCCAGGAGAAGGCCGCCTGGACAAGCGATATAAGTCAGGTAAACAAACGACTTTTGCCATAAATCTTTCTTTTTTTTTCTTTACAACGTTAACTCCTGGGGGGGGATTTTTAGAGTGAATTTATTTTTATTAAAAAATTACATTTGGTTGCCGTGGTCGCTATCATCACCATTATGTACCTTGATATGCTGGAATCATTGTTGTTTGTTTTTATTTTTATGGTTCACATTTATGTGAAATGTAGTAATTGAATTTTAGTTTCTGGGCATTTTTGTACAATCTGTAAATGTAATCACTAGAGTCGAACAGCGTTAAAATCTCCCTGTTAGTAATAAGCTCTCCAATGACCCTCACTGGATTTTTTTTTTCTTATTTGTTCCTGAGGTAGGAAAACAGGGAGATACAGAAAGAGCTTGGTGAGAAATATCAAATTAAGGAGTCACATCAGATAAGAGATACTGTCTGTAGTATGAAAACTGAAAAAATGAGCTCTAGTATTTCATATAGAAAAAAGTACGGAAAGTTTCGATTACCTTTTCTTGATCAATAATGTCCAGTTAGGGAATTGTTGCATTTATTCAGAATTTGGAAATATGTCAAAATTAGCCATGATTAGACTTGAGCATTCCTAAATCTAAACTCCATGTTAATTTTGGCTCCATCAGCCAATGTAGGAGAAAAATGTTCATGTGAGGAAAATATGAAAAGAAGGCTTGATAATTATCTTCAAAGTTGTTAACTCAAGGAAGGTTGGACAAACGGAAAAAGCATATACTGTAGATTCTACTGCTTCTTTTTTTCTGAAGAGCTCATAATATTTTATATATAAGACAGGTATAAATCTGAACTATATCATTGTTCTTTAGATACTTAATTTTTTCTGAGTGACTAAAAACTGAGGGAAAAATAGAAAGAATAAAAATAAAAAATAATTATTTTTATATGTCAAAGAAAATTTACAGACTTAGTCTCATTTGAACCTTGCAACGGTATTCTGAAGGTAATGAGAAATATTATTCCCATTTCACAGGTGAGAAACCTGAGGTTTGGAAGGCTGTGTTTGTCCAAAGTTACACAACTGTATTGAGTCAGAACTCAGACCTAATCCAGCCCTTTTATCACCACTCTAAACACCCTCTACAGGAATGCTGGATTTTCACTTATATACCCCATGATTGCTTTGATGGTGAATAAATAGCTAAAAGTTATTTGATGGAATTATGCATTGATGGAATTTGTCAGAAGGCACTTCTTTTCTGGCTAACAAAGGAATGAAATATGGTGTAATTACGTCCTTGAGATGATTTATTAATACTTTCATTAACTCTGCTGGATGGATTAATACTTTGTAGTCTTTGTTTGTAATGCATTTCTTACCTTATGAAATTCTGAATCATTCACTGATTCTATGAATGTTTATCGTGCAATCACCATGTGCGCCAGGTATTGTGTAGGCACCTGGGATACGGTGGTGGTCCCTGCTCCCAAAGAGAGGCAGGCTAGCAGGGAAGAAAGGGAAGTAAACAACTCAATGCAACAAGATTTTGTTAGTGTTGTGAAGCCAAGGTAAGTACGAAGAATGGGGAGAATAGGAGTAGACAAAGGTGTTTTTCTAGCTGCTGCTAGCTCCTCCCTTTTGATGTAACTGGGGCTCCTAAGATGCACAATTGATGAAAAGCTTTAAGTAACCTCCTTAGGGCACCTGGTGAGGCATTGTTAATAGAGAAAGACCCTTGGGATGCCTGTTCCTTTAAAGAAAAGTATCCAGTGCTTTGCCTGCCATGAGCATCCAAGTAAGAGACTCTACTTAAACTACATCTTGCAGCAGAAGTGTACAGCTTCCTCCTATTTTCTGATTCACTATGGCCATGATGTTAAATTATATTAGATTATACCTACAGTTGAATAGGAGAAAGATGCTAACAGAAAGTTTTATCTTTTTGAGTGATGGTATCATTATGTGAAATTACTGTGTTCAGTAGAACTTTGATAGTGTGTGGCTTTGACACGAGTTCTCTTATTCAACAAATATATTTATGCAGTGATACTATATGCCAGTCACTGTTTAGGCACTTGTGATGTATCATGAACAAAAGAAGCAACTACTATAAAAAAATTCTCTGACCTTGTGTAGCTTAGTACATTCTAGTGTTGGCAAAGCTGAAAATGAATAGTAAACATTACAAATAAGTGCATACTCTTTTATGTTAGAAGGCGATTGGGCAGGGTAAGGATGGAGCTACTGGAGGTAGGCATGGCTCGGTATAGTTTTAGAAAGGTGGTCAGCTCATTCTGAAGTGGACATCTAAACAAAAACTGCAGCCGGTGGTGGAAATGACACGTAGGTATGTTACGAAGGGAAAGTCATTCGAAACAGGATAAAAGCCATTGCAAAGAATTTAGAGCAGGAGGGCACTACATATTTTGAGTCATAGCATGAAGGTCAGTGTGGCTGAAGTGGGATGCGAGAGGCAACAAATAGAAAATGAGGAAGTCATGTAAGTGGAATTGTTAAGTAAGCAGTGAGATATAGAAGCGCAGTGTTTATGACGCAGATCCAGGTAGGAGACTCTAAGCCATTTAGTTCGTATTTAAGGCTGTAAAACTGTTGAGATCACCCAGAGAGTAACTGTAGATAGAAATGAGAAAAGGGCCATGGCCTGAGTGAGGTGTCAGGGAGAACAGCAAGGCGGACTAAGAAGGAACCATCAGTGCAATTGGAGGATAGCCAAGAAGGCATGGTGTGCTGGAAGTCAGGTGAAGAAAATGTATCAGGCAGGAGGGAGTGGTCAGGTGTCAACTGCTACTAAAGGCTGAGCACAGTAGTGAGTCCCCTGAGATACTTAGTGATTCTTCTGATGTGGGGTTTCAATGGTGAGTGGTAAGGATGGAGTGTTGAACTACTACTGATTGAGCCAACCCTAATGCCCAGCAGCCTGCATCTCAACTGGCTTTGTTGTCTGCTTAAAGCAGGGAATGTTTTATGGGGGAGATTATGTGCTATACATACAGTGATGGAATTTGTCAGTCTCCCAAGTGTACCTCTGGGTATATTCATTATTAATAAGGTGAGCCTACCAAATGCTTAAAAAATACTGTTTAATATTTTATGATGTATATGTAAAAAATACGGACATAAAATGGAACTAAAAATACACCCAACACCCAGTATACTAAATAAATTTTTATCAAAGTATTTTCCACAGATAACTACATTAGAATTACCTGAGGGTTTTTAAAAAATGCAGACATCCCCTACATTCCACCTATATTCCAGACATCCCCAAGGTTTAACAAGCTCCACAGACTACTTTTGTACAATTAAATTAGAGAACCTTTGTCCTGAAAAATCAACTGTTTCTATCTCTAAGACCTCTAGAATCTTGCCATAGAGAAATTATTTTACAGTTTGGCTCTCAGTGTATATAGGCATCATTTTTTGCTTTTTTATCTCATTTGCGTCTTTCTATATTTCTGCATATTTTTCATATTGGTGTCTTCTAATATAGTGTACACACACACACACACACACACACACACACACACACACCCCTCCACATTCACTTCCCACTTTTCTAGCTTTTTCTGAATAATTAGGCATATCATATAGGCAGTTTCCCAGTTTTAGTGTTAAGATATGCTATGATGCTAACATCTTTGTGCAGGAATTTTTTCCCTTTCATCCTTGGCTGGTATGTCTTCCCCAAGTGGGTGAGGCTGGTACAGAGGGCCTGATTACTTTCATGATTTCATAATTCATAACTTGACAGACTGCCAAAATGCTACAAGAAATATAATTCATTTCATTACATCATCAGCAAGGTATCTATGTAGCTTTCTTCTAAGTCCTGCCAATGTTGCATTTTGTCACATTTATCACATTTTCCTATTTAATGGAAAAGTATCACTTTCTGTGGTTTTAACTTACACTTCTGTAATTATCAATGAGATTAACATTTTCCACTATATCTATTTCTTGTCAGTTCCTGCCAGATGGACATTTATTCATTTTAGCTATCTGTACAGACCAGGGAAATGAACACTTTCTTTCAATTCATATTATGAGTATGTTCTCTGTTATTATGTCTTGTTATGTTTTACTCTTTATTTTGATAAATCTTAATATTTTTGTGGTTTGATTTGGAGTCACCTTGCTAAGCTACTGTACCTTGTTATACTAATCACACATGGCTCTTACTGAATATAATAAACCGCTTCCTGAGTAGACACATTCTCAGTTTCACATAAAGCACTCTGTGCAAAAATTAAAACTTTTGGCCTTGCCAGGCCTCTGTCTTTGAAGCTGTAATTTTTAGAAGTAACAATTGCTTGAATGATTAATTACACTTTCCTTTACACCAGTAAGGCCATTATTAACCATTGGCGCCTCCAACAAAACGTGAAGTGGCTAATGATCTTGACCAATAATTTTTCCCTTGTTCATCTATTTATAGGGAAAAAAATTGAGGCTGAAGATTTGACCATTCATTTCAATATTGTGCATTCATTTGTGCTTGTCTTACTGTCATACATAATGGTGCATTAAACAGATTTTTCTATAATTATAGGTATTAGCTAAAATGCAGAATTAAAATTCACCTCTGAGCTTCTTGGTTTGGGCAAATGTGTCAAAACATACACCTTGTATAGACAAATTTGTAGCATGCTGCTGACATGCGTTATTCCTTAAAATAGCTTCCCTGGAATCAATAAGGAATTTTCTATTTTAGCATAAAAAAGTGAATTAAAAGAAAAATTGAACTTAACCTTCCTTCCTACTACTTAGAAGTATTAAGAAGGTAAAAAACATTCTGACAACAGTAGACCACTGACCTTTGAACAGGTATTGCCTCAAATAAAGCCCTCAAAGAACCCTGCTGGAAGAGTCATTTTCAACATTTGTCCAATGACCAGCTGCATCAAAATTGCCTGGGGCTTTTGTGAACATACATATTCCCAGGCCCAACCCTAGTTATAGTCATAGTCATCACACACTGAACTAGAATATTCGTGGCCTAGGAACCTGCTTTTGTTATCTTAGTAATTTTAAGGTTTACTGTAGTTCATATAAATTCCATGTGCCCTTAAAGATATGTTGCAGATTGCTTATTTTCATGCATATCTTATTGAATGAGAGAACTGAATTTATTTTCAGTTGGGGCTCAAACTCTTCTCCTGAACACAACCAAGATGCATGCTTGTATGATCATAAGTATATAGCACACCTTCTAATATAAATATATCATATGCACAATCATATACAAGTATCTCTTGCTTCTCAAAAGTTCATGTTACATCACTTTGCTTTTACAAAAGGCCTATATTATTTCCAGATGCTGTAGTTTGAGGACATTCATTGAAGGGGACTTTAAAGTATTCCTTTTTTCCCCCCAGGGTTTGGGAATACCTGGTGATTGAAATAATGGCATAAGACATGAGAAAACATGCTTTTAAGGAAAAACAAGTTTGAAAATGGCTGATGTGCTAAGTAGACTGAATAGTCAGGGGATGGCAGTGATCGAGTTTCTTATACATATATTTACTCTTTCATTAGACATTGGAGTTTAGGGTAAACCCCAAGTTCAGGGCCTGTGGGAAGTCACTTTGCAATCAGCTTCTTCACACCATTTAATTGCAGTCACAAAGCGCTGCATGATCTCCTAGTAACTAGAAGTAATTTCTGATTTTAAACATTGTTTAAATCTTTTTTTTAAAAATTTTCTGTTTTGTTCAAAGGGAATATGTATCATTCAAAATAAATGCTTCTCTCACCGAAAGTAATTGCAAAGGGAAAATTTTAATTGATGTGGCATAAATATACATTGAAAAGGCAGAGAAAATTAGCAAAAGTTCTGTTAGAAAGAGAAGAGAACAAGATGAACAGGGTTGTATGTGTGCGAGAAACAGGAGCGATTATACAGTGTATCCTCACCAACCCAACATGGTGCCAATAGAAACTGTTAGAGAAACTAGGAAAATGTGGGCATTTATTGGCAAAAAACACCTGAGAAGCAGGCATAGAGCTGACTAGTGAGACAAGAGGAATTTCATCCAAGGAAGCCACCATTTCTCCTCTGCCTGCCCCATACCACCCCCTAGGGTAGAGAATGAATACAGCAGAGGCAGTCACCATCCGAAGGTCGTAAACCTCTCAAGCAGTGCTGTATCTGCCAGAGAATTGTGACAATGTGACATTGTGGTCAGTATCCTTGAGAAACACATTGCAGGAAAACATAGTCCTTATATTTGCCAGGTACACAGCTTTGGTATCTAGACATTGAACCTGTTCATCAATGTATAATGTTTACTTGCGCGCGTGTGTGTGTGTGTGTGTGTGTGTGAGAGAGAGAGAGAGAGAGAGAGAGAGAGAAAGAGAGAGAGAGAGAGAGGGAGAGAGAGAGAGATATGAAAAACTAAATTGTTTTTGTGGATATAAACAATTCTGGAAATATATGATCTGCCTAGGTTTTCATGTGGGTTATAATTGTCTATTTTTTAATTTCACAGTGTGTGGACAATATACGGTGTAATGGTTTAATGACTATAGTGTTTGAAGAGAATTCCAAAGTTACTGTGCCACATATGATTAAGTAAGTGTGATAATCCTTTCCCTTACATTATAATCAAGATCAAATTGGTAGATAATGTAAAAACCCTGAATAAAATATTACTTCAGTAGCATTCTGCTTCACACTGTGAATAGGTTTCTTGACAGTAATATGGTAATTCATGATAATGCCACAAGACTATCAAAATGTTTTTCAGATTCATGGTTTATTGATTCATAGCATAGAAAAATTGTTTTTCATACTGTCACATATGTCTTCACTCAGAACAAAAGACTGTGGGGATTGTCAGATTCAATATAAAAAGTTGTGACAGCCAGATGTGTCCAAGGTCAGAGGGTGGGTCAAGGCATGGTAGGTTCTTTTGGCATCTTCTTAGTGGGTATGAATCTTATTACTCAGATTTCCTTGTAGAGATACGTTTAGATTTTGAAGACAATATGGATCATTTGGCTTTTCCATGGTCCAATCTGGCCACTGTCTATATATGGATTTGCCCTAGAAGCTATTGCCTAGGGCTGCCATCCTGCTCTCTATATGTTTTGTTAACAAAGCAAATCCTATAATTTATAGTGATTTAAACTCTAGTTTAAAATGAGATGGTATATCAATAACAATGTACTGTAGCTTCCTGCGTTAATGTTTTTGTCTCTGGGTACTTTTTTCTTTCCAAATTCAGAAATTGTTTGGGGAGTATTTTGAAGCTGGTCCCTATGCTTATTTTCTTGGTTATTTGCATCCCAAATTCTAAGAATATTTTAAAAGAAGTTCTGTTATGTCTTTCAAAAAAAGGTTACATTAAACTAAGAAAATGTTTGTCTTCTATGTCTTTTTATGTGGATTTTTTTTTTAGGTCTGAGCTGTTTATGCTATGGCAATAAATAATATTAACTTTTCTGATAAGTATTAACTATAATTAGCATCATCCCAATGGTACGAATTTTAAAACTTATTATTATATCAGATGAAGGCAGAAGTGCCTTATACTAGTGCCGTAATTACTACAGAGAATTAATTATAAAAGAATGATAGTATTTTAAATTACTAGTCAAATTTAAAAATATTTTGGGTAGGATTATTTTAAAACTCCGGGGCAAAGAGTCTTTCAGCATTCAGTTTGCTAGGTTTTTAATTTAGTATGGTTTTATTTTAAACCCAATTGATTAAAATGTATGATGCTAAGATTAAAACCAAGTATGAAATATTAAATCAAAAGGTCCAAATTATGGCTTAATTTTTAAATTCACTTCATTTGGTTAGAGTTTTCTTATTAATTTTCTACCATAGGATTCTTATTTTAATATTTCACAGAATAATATATGTTATTTTTATTCATTTTAAAAAGTACTTTCTTGAAGGTTAGACAGCCATTAAATTAAAGTTCAGACTGCTTTAGAATGAGAATATGTTAGTTGGACATTGCAGTCAAGTAAGTTATAAGCTCCTAAACCCACTATACAGTGGTGCTCTGTATCCGCCGGTTCTGCATCTATGGCTTCAGCAAACCACAAATCAAAAATATTTTTTTTAGAAGTTACATTATTGCTGACATGTACTAAGTAGTTAGGCCTATGATGGTTGTGACTGCACTGAACAAGTACAGACTTTTTTTTTCTTGATATTATTCCCTAAACAATATAGTATAACAACTATTTACATAGCATTATGTTGTATTAGGTATTCTAAGTAATCTAGAGATGACTTAAAATATACGGAAGGATGCATGTAGGTTATATGAAAATACTATGCCATTTTATATAAGGGACTTGAGCATCCTCAGCTTTTGGCATCCACAGGGGTCCTGGAACCAATCTCCCATGCATACCGGAGGATGACTGTACATACATTTTCTTGACTTCAAGAATTAATATGGATAAAAACTTTAATATTGTGCGTGACCAGTTATGGCTGGTGCCCGAATGTACTATCTTTTGTTCCTCATTATGGCAGTTCAACCAGTGTTAATGTCCAATCTCAATCCCATGTAGACCAAGACTTTCCCGCTTTGGGGTATACAGAGGTGACACTTGAATGAGTAGGAAACATTCTCCTGTCAAGACAGAAACCTGTACCTCAGGCTGTCAGAGTCACACATTAGAATCACATGTTTTGATGCCCATCTATACTCTACTATATGTATTCCCAAGGCAGAGTTTCATATACAGAGGGTGCCAAAACAATGGATACACATTTTAAGAAAGGAAAAAGCTGTATTAAAATTGTAATGCTCAATATATACTGATAACAAAAGATGAAGACAAGTCATGTTTGACTTCTGCAATTATAAGAGGTGCTCAAAGTGGTTACCATCAGTGTAATTTTAACACAGTTTTTTCCTTTCTTATAATGTGTATATCTTTTTTTGGCACCCTCTGTATTTTATATATTTCTTCTATTTTTTTCTGCCTCATTGAGCCTGGTTCTTCTTAAACAAAGAAAAGTGGACAATTTTGCAATCTCTGTTCCTTCTGATAGTCTCCTCCATGGCCCGATTCTACCCTAAATTCTGTATCCTTGCCTCCCTGTGCATCTCTCTGACTACATATCATGAGAGGGGGGAAAAAAAAGACATTTTGGAAAGTTAAAAAAAAGTTATCCTATCTTAATTGTGGCATCACTTTACAGGCACTCACTTTTAAACCTTACTAATTATAATAGGTAATATGGGTTTCATGTCTCAAGATTGCTTCTTAAAGTGTTTACCAAACAGGAGTTGTTACCATAAGAGGATTAAGTAACACATTATATCTTTCTTGAGAGTCCCTTAGGAAATAAAGTAAGATCTTGTTCAGTGTAATAAAAGAAAATTAAATAATTTCATAATATTAAATTTTTTTCTTTACTTAAAATGAAAATGTAATCACAATTTTGAAGGACACTGGTGTAATTAGTTTTATTTTAATTTCATGTTGGCTACAACATATTTTTCCCTCCTATTGTTTCGATTAATTATAGTCAACAGATGCAAATCTCAAACTGTGATTAGATTGCAAAGTCATGATATTCATTAGGTGAAAATATCCCTTGAAGTGGTGTTTTACATTTTATGTATATAGGTTAAGACTTGATTTCTTTTAATAATAATTAATCTCAACTTTTTTAGAAAATAGAGATTTTTGGTGGGAAATGATGGGAAGAAAAGTGATTACCTTGGTCAGCCATCTTCCAGACAGACTGATATTGATTTGTGAAAGTTTTTAAGGTCTTTTTACAAACGAGAAAGTTAAGACCCAGAGAAGTAAAGTTGGTTGAGGGTCACCTAGTGAGTGGAAAAAAGGGCCACGCTGTTTTCAAGAATCTCAAAAGATGCACTTGTGTATTTTCAAGATCAGAAAATGTGACTTAAATTAGCAGGCCACCCTCAGTCAATTCCTTGGCAGGGGTTAGCGGCTGATTTAAAAATGCCCTTTCAGGCCCACAAATGAAATACCTCTGCCTCCACGAAGCATGCTTTGGGGTGGGAAGTTTCCAAGAGCAAGCTAAGAAAGTTATTGATTCCTTTTTATCCAAAAGAAAATAAATAATTTAAATCCCCCTCGAAGTGCTGAAAGGGATAATCATGGGCACTCACAATAAGCCAGCTGATTCTTAGCAAGCAGTTGCCTCTCTGAACATCAGTGGCCCAGAAGCATATTCTTTCATCAAGTGGTGAAATCCAGGACTTCATTGATCGTGTTTTCTGAGACGCTGCAGTGAAGGGGAATGAGGAATCTCAGGAGGGACTGTGCAGGCTCTGTGCAGTCCAAGGGAAGGTGTGCGTTTCTTTCAGCCCCACTTGGATTCAGCCTCTGCTTCCAAGCTTTTCCTCTTACAAAAACTTTGCCTCTCCCTCTGCCTTTTTGCCCTTTTAAGAAATGCTCACCACTGGCCTAGGGCTCTGAACAGGGTGAAGGATCGTGCGGGCTGCTGTGTGAATCATCCTCTTAGTTTGCTTTTGCTTGTCCTCCTGGAGAGGCAGCTCTGGCTTCCACTGCATTGGTCAGGTTGAGGAGCAGCCAGATGGGAGGTTTTACAGAATGAGAAAATAACAGAGCATGGCCAGTGGTGGGTACTGTTCACGAGACTCTCTAGAAGGGTTCACGACCTATATCTTACCCATTACTATTTTTTTTAATTGAAGTAAAATTGGTATGTAGCACTAGATTAGTTTCAGGTGTACATTATAATTTGATATTTGTATACACTACAAAGTGATCAGCACCATAAGCCTAGTTACCGTTCATCGCCGTACAATTGATCCCCTCTACCCATTTTACTTTTTTAAAAAATGAAGACATTTTTCATGCTGCAGAATATTGAAAACATAATGAAAACAAAGCATTTTACACAACTTGTGGATTCAACTGGACTCATAAAATGGATAGCCTTAAATGTATTAATAAGCCAGGAAGAATGAAATGAATTAAACATTCCATTCAAGATGTTAGAAAAATAATCAACTATAGGAAAGTGCAGGAAGGAAATAAGATAAGAACAGACATTAATAAGTTAATTTATAGAAAAACCACGGAATTGATAAAGAGCCAGTTCTAGAGGGAAAAATACCTAATAATATAATCTATGAGTTAGCATAGTCAAGAAAAAAGGGGAAAGCACAAATGCACAAAATTAGAAGTGAGAAAAAGAAGTAACCGCAGATATAGCAGTGATATCTGTGTGTCCCCCTTCCCTCACCCCTTTGTATGGGAGAACATCACCCATTACTTTTTAAGGGCATTTTTAATATTTTGATTTAAGAGCATAAGCAAGGGAAGCAAAGCTTGAGTCTGGCACTTGGAAATTTGGTAAAATTTAATGCTTATTAAGTTACTCTTTCTATTAATTTGCATATTAAAAATTAAATTATATTGCCACTAAAAAAACCCCATAAACTAAGCCCCTCCTAAATTGGGCTTTTGGTCTCTCTTCCTAATAAAACATGATTGAACAAGAGAGAGAAGTGAAGGGTAGCAGAATATGCCACCCCAAAATATGCCACTTTGGCATATTATTTTGAGCTGTAGGAACTTGAAAAACAGCAAATGTAGGGAGAGGCTTTCTCTAAAATCCCCTTATCCGCCTAAAGACAGACCCTCCAAAAAGAACTCAGTTGTCATAATCGCATCCTGAGGACTATCATCAACCAGGGAAGAGTGACCCTTATCGCAGGAGAGGAGGCTAGAAGTCAACACCACATCCAAATGGTCACAAACGATCTATTTTAACTCCCATCTATTCTTCTAAGGACCATTTATCTTTTCTAAAAAATTATTTACTCTCCCCTAAGAGGCCTATATCTCCCTCCCCTTTCCCTGTTAAGATGGTATTTAATCTTGAATTCTAAGCCATCTGAAGGAGTTACTTATTTCTCCCTGGGTATCTCCCATGTATCCATGAAGTACCATGTTAATAAACTTCTGTTTGTTTTTCTCTTGCTAATCTATCTTTTATTACAGAGGTCTCAGCCAAGAGCTCTGAAGGGTTGAGGGAAAATTGTTTTTCCTCCCCTACAGAAGGAATCCACAGGGTGAAATGAATTATTATTACCTTCTTCACAATTAATTTTGACCTTCCTAAATTATAACTGCATATTTGATATTTCTATAGCCCTGCTTGTTGTATGTAATATGTTGTATCACCATCTTTTATCAAATGCCGTGGGAAGCCTTCCCAAGAGTGTGTGTGTGTTTACCAATACTGAAATATTCAGTGACCCAGAGAAAGCTGGTTTTGTCCTCATGTTGCTGCTTTGTGTGTAGGTCTGATACCCGTCTTCATAAAGATGACACTGACATTTGCTTCAGTAAAACACTCAACTCCTGCAAAGTGCCCCAGATCCGTTATGCCAGCGTGGAGCGCCTCTTGGAGCGGCTGACAGACTTGAGGTTTCTTAGTATCGATTTCCTCAACACCTTTCTGCACACCTACCGTATTTTCACAACAGCAGCGGTGGTGCTGGCGAAACTTTCCGACGTATACAAGAGGCCTTTTACCTCCATCCCCGTCAGGTAGGCCCAGGACTTGCCCGCCATGGAAGTGTGGCCTGTCTGGTCCCTGGGTTTCCCCACAGATGAGCAGCTCTGAGGGTATCGCCTTGCCTTTGAACGTCCCATGCCCCACCAAGAGAAGGGGTGAGGAGAGGTCACAGATAGTTCCTGAGGGAAGAAGTTGAGAACCCGGAAGTCCCCAGGTGGCCTTTACTTGCTCTGTGATTATTTGGATGCTAACTCTATTGTTTTAGACTTTCCTATTTTATTTTTTTACAGTTGTGCTTTTCAAACTTCAATATGCATAAGAATCACCTGGGGATCTTGTTAAATTGCAGGCTCTGATTCAGTAAGTCTGGAGTGGAGCCAGATTCCTGCATCTCTCATAAGCTGCCCAGAGATGCCAATGCTACGGGTCTTTGGAGCACAGTTTCGTAGCAAGGGATTAGACATGGCTTAAAATGTGTCCGTGTTCCTTTGGCAAGTGCGTGGAATACAGGTAGCATGGAAATGAAGAAGATCTAGCAAGAGAGAAATGCGATGCTATTGTGGCCTTTTAATGTAGGGGGCATGTTCTCGAATGGCATCAGGGGAACCATTTTCACTTGGCTACGATCTGTTCATAGCTTTTGCTCTGATTTTTAGGTCATTGGAATTGTTTTTTGCCACGAGCCAGAACAACAAAGGTGAACATTTGGCGGATGGCAAATCCCCACGCCTGTGTCGCAAATTCTCCTCCCCGCCACCGCTGGCTGTGTCCAGGACGTCCTCCCCAGTGAGGGCCAGAAAGCTGTCCTTGACTTCTCCTTTGAACTCAAGGATAGGAGCACTGGACCTGAGCACCTCCCCGGCCTCCAGCAGTCCTACCACAACCCATAGCCCCGCTGCGTCCCCGCCGCCACACACTGGTAAAGTACCGTTGGATCTTAGCAGAAGCCTTTCTTCTCCAGAACAAAGCCTGGGATCTGTAGAAGAGCATTTAGATAACCCCCGCGTGGATCTGTGTAACAAGCTAAAACGAAGTATTCAAAGAGGTATTATCCAGCTGCCTCACCCTGTGCTTGCTGGCTACCTGCTTCCCTGCCCTTCCCTCCGGAACCCTAGCTCCCTGTCTTGACAACTTTCCCACTTCTGCTTAGAAAGTAGAGTGAATACAAAGGCTAGTTAGAAGGAAAAATTCCTGTAGTTCTCTCTAGTTTTTGTGGAAAGGAGAGCAAGGTTAGCTGTCGTCACGTCACCTATAGTAAAGGCTAATAACATTGTCTGAATGCTACTACTGGAAGGTTCTTCATGGAATTTGATTAAGGCTGGTTGGGTAATAAGCCTAGCATGATCCTCTACGTGGAGGCAGGTTGTGGGCACCCTCATCTCTAAGCTTGGGCCTCAGAGCAGCCGCCTCCTCCTCCAGTGTCTGCTTTAAGCACCTGTACTCCTCCTAACCTCCCCTGCTAAGGATGACTAGCCTTTAAGCATTAACATGGCTTCTTCAGTTTAGTTACCAAGGCAACACTCACTCCATATTACAAGAGAGACACAGGGAGGAAAATAAAACCTGAGACACTGTTTATTGTCATGACAGCCAGAATGGTTTTTAAAAGGGTACATTAGAATACTTGGTTTCCTGATTAAATTCTTTAATGACTTCCCGTCACACTTAAAGTAAATTCTCCCTGCCAAGTCCTTCAGACCCACGAGACTTGGATGCCATCTCCCTTTCCAACTCCTGCTCCTGCCGTGCTCCCACAGCTACGAGGCTGTAGCCGCATCAGTTTCCTTTTTGCGTCTCAGAAACACCTCAGTCATTTCTGCCTCAGGGCTTTTGCACTTGTTCTTTCTTCTGCCTGGTCAGCCTTTCCCCATATACGCTCCATGAGGTCAGCAGTCTTGTCTATAATACCGTGTTTACCTCTGTACCCTCAGAGCCTTGGCCAGTGCCTGGCAGGTAGTAAATTTTTGTTAAGTGAATGAATCAAACAAAACACTCTGTGAGCTAATCAAGGGCCCTGTAACAACTCATCTGACCTTCCTCAGCTCGGCACAATGTAGGGGGTGCAGGAAATGACCTTGTTGCTTCAGAATCCAGTGTTTCGGTGATGAAAACAAAAAAAGCTTTTACAGACAAATTAGCGAACAACTTATTTTTTTCTATATAACAACTGATTTACTTTCCGATAACAAAATAAATATTGGGCAATTAATCAGACAAAGCGTCTGATTTTCAAGGAGGATCACCCCGATGACAGGCCCCTGTTTTTCTCCCTGCTTGAAGCTTCTGTGTACTTTCTAGCTCAGATCATTTAAATAAGCTTCCTGAGTGAAATACTTAATGGAATTTTAACTGGAGTAGTTGTCATCATCAAAAGTAGCACCCTTTTAGACAAGAAATTCTTTAAATTGACAGGTTAGCAACTAAAGAAGAGGAATGGAGGGAGATAATTAATAAGTCATTAGAACAACAAGCCTCAGCAGGCATCATGATGGGTCCTTCTAGGGAATAATGAGGCGGTGCAGAAGCTGACAAGTACATCCAGGGTTCGATCCAGGGCCAGTGCTTGGGCACCTCCACAGACAGAATGATGTAGGGACGCTTATCTCAGACCTCCGCTCTGGGGCATGGTGCCCTGGGAAGGACGGGAGTTCCCCAGAATGTGGGGGGTTCTCTGCCCTCCTTTATTGGATTGCAGTAAATAGGAGAGGACAAATGTGGGGCTAAGTCTGGATTCTCGTGTCATTTTGAGCTAGGAGAGCTTTAGGGAGAAGCATGTTAGTGTGAGACATTCATGGCTGAGGCTTTGGTTTGACTGCCCATGCAGCTGGAATGACAATACTGTCAAGGTCTGTTCAAGAGTCATTGCGTGACCTTCTTCTCTGCGAGGGTTGCTCTGCTACAGGTTCTATGATGGTACATAAGATGGCACCCTGGCCGCTTATACTCCAGTTATGTGGAGAAGAGAGACGCCACATAACTATAAAGGCAGGTGGCACAAGAGGCATAGACAGAGTGCGATGGAGGGTGAAAAGCACGGGAGGTCACAGCTGCTTGGGCAAAATCAGGACGTGTCATTGACGAAATGGATAAGTAGGTTGGAGATGGGTGAACCTATGAGCAAAGGGCTCGTGTTAACCCCAGTGGTGAAAGCCATTTCTGAGAGCAGGAGGCATCGTTGCTCCTGAAGGGACAGCTTTTGTCCGGTTTTGATGCCATGTGCAGCCCTGCAGCGCAGACCCTCTCACTAGCCTTCCTAGGGCTTTCTAGCATCGAGGAAACTTTTTAAAACTCTCCTATAGAATCTTTTTTTTTCCCCGCCTCCTCCACTTCCTCTTCCTCTTTCTCTTACTACTCCTCCGCCTCCTTTTTTACTCTCTTAACCATTTTTAAGTGTACACTTCAGTAGTGTTAAGTATATTCACATTGTTGTGCAGCCAATCTCCAGCACTTTTGCATCTTGCAGAATTGAAACTGTGTACCCATTGAACAGCTCCCCACTTCTCTCTCCCCCCAGCTCCTGGCAACCACCATCTGCTTTCTGTTTCCAGAGTTTTACTACTTTAGATACCTCATCTAAATGAAATCACAGACTGTCTTTTTGTGGCTGGCTTATTTCACTTAGCATAATGTCTCAAGGTTTATCCATGTTGTAGCATGTGCCAGGATTTCCCTCTATTTTAAAGCTGGAATATACAATATTCCATTATATACGTACATTCCATATTTTTTTTACCCATTCATCCTCTGACAGACATTGGATTGCTCCCATCACTTGGCTATTGTGAGTAATGCTGCAATGAATAGGGGAGTGCAACTACCTCTTTGAGATCCTGCTTTCAATTCTTTTAGATTAAATACCCAGAAGTGAGATTGCTGGGTCATATGATCATTCCATTTTTAATTTTTTAAGACACCTCTATACTGTTTTCCATAGTGGCTGCCCCATTTTATATTCCCACCAATGGTACACAGGTTTCCAGCTTCTCTGCTTCCTTGTCAACACTTACTATGTTCTGTTCTTTTGATAGAGGCCATCCTAATGGGTGTGTGGTGAGAATCTTTCTTCCTTTTTGTAATTTCACAGGGATTTCATTTTACTTTGGCTAAGTCTTGTAGTATGGATATTATTATTATTATTATTATTATTATTATTATTATTATTTTCTTTAACAGAGAAGCAAAAGAAAAATCTCTTTCTGCATCGTAGCCTAAATACATGTCATAGTTCTAGAGGTCCTTTATCAAGCTGCCCATTGCCCACCATAATGAACTTTTCCACTTAATTTGTTACACACAGATTGTTTCATGTTGGTCACCAAGTTCCCTAGTTCTGGTCTTCAGAGCCTAAGCCCAGAGTATGTGTATAGTGATAGCCCAATGCCATGCCATAGAGCCTATTTGGGCGGCCATCTAGGATGGAGGTGTGGTCACTGGTAGGAATCAGGAGGTTTTTCCCTGGAGCAAATTAGACTTGGGGAGACCAAGATAAATGAGAAAGAACTGGATTAAACTCTGAGGGAAGGACCCTGACAAAGGCCACAAAGATTTGTCAGTGCAGCAGCCGGACAGAGGTGGGATCATTGTGGACATAGCTAGCAGCGACTGGAGAGCTTGTCATGTGGCAACATCAATAATTTATGAATAGAGGCTTTAGATGGAGAGAGCCCATGAATAATGGTGTGGCAAAAACACAAGGTTCTCTCTCACATTAGAGAAGTAGCTCAAATTCAGGGTTTAATGCCTCTGTTTTTCACTGGATTCCCCCCAAACAAATGATTTGCGATTAGATTTTCAAGAGTTCATTTATCCACATGGTTCATGAGTTAAAAATGTCATTTTGCTGTTCCAGGTCATGGCTAAGTGCAGAGCTCCTCTCACTCGGGGTGATGGGGAAGTTCCAGGATTGTGTCCGGCAGGGGCGCCTGGTATTTAATGAAGCACATTAGAGCAAGTCTCCATTTGAGAGATGTCAGCGCCTCTGCCCTCTGTGTTTCTTAGTCACACCAACTCACTAATGTGCCCCACCCTCTGTTTCTCATTTTTACTACGACTGTCCCCTCAGTCCTTCCATGAAGCACTTTGTTCTTGGCCACTCTTTGTATCTTTATTTCTTTTCCCTTCCTGCAGCTCTCTTCTGACTACTTTTTATTGTATTTACTTTCCATCTAGTTCTTAAAAATATTTAAGGTGGTTGTTGAAACAGACACATGGTACAACAGGATTGAAAATAAAATAGATAAGGAAATCAGGCAATGAAAAAAATTGTGAGAGGCTAAGGATATGGTTAGTGAACAAATGAACACTCTGTGGTCCTCTGCAGTTCCCAGAGTTGCTCCAGTTTTGGTTCTGAATGTAATCAATTCCATGATTCTTCTTGAAACCTAAGAGAGATGTACAGGCACATCTTTTGTTGCTACTAAGACTTGAGAACAGTTTATCTGTGGATCCTTGTCAAGGAAATTCTGGGAATAGAAAGCTTAGAATTAATACTGGGAACGAGGGAGCTCTTTAACATTTTTCTGAAGAGCTGAAACAAAGGAATCTAGACTTAGTTTTTCTTTTATTTTGCATCGGTATGTGGGCAAGTTTGGTCATGCGTAGTCTTAGGAAAGTCGGGGATGAAACACTTTGCTTCAGCATCAGTCTGACAAGTTCAGTGTGTGTGTGTGTGTGTGTGTGTGTGTGTGTGTGTGTGTGTGTCCGTCCATATACGTGTCCACGTGCGTGTGCGTGTGTGCATGTTTGTAGACTTCAAGAGTGCTGCTGTGTTAACTCGGCGGTCTACTACTCTTGAATATTCAAATTGGCGAAGAAAAGGGAGACACTGATCTGTCTTTAATTTGAAAGATGTTTGCGTGTGCTTTGCATAATGTTAACACTTAAAACAGTTGGTAAACTTGAATAAGGATCCTGTGCCAACAGTTTGTACATTTTCTGCTTTTCACGTCAGGGAACAACTCCACACAGCCTCATTACATAATACCAGCTTTGCCCGTCAGGCCCATACCAAGGCTAGGGGTCTCTCGCCCTGCTGTCCAGCTAGACAGTCTCAGGGTACGTTCTTTGAAAAATGCTAGTAACCCTTGTCCACTTTTATTGTCATTGTAGTTCTAATGCTGGCCTTGCAATATTTCCTGGCAAGAGAACTTCAGATGACGTGAAGGGAAAGAAGAGAAACAGGAACTATCCCTCAAAAATGAGCAAGACTATGAACTTATGAGGGAGAAAATAATGCAATTTATTTTTCTCCCAATCTAGTCCCTAGATCTGTTCCAGGCTCATCCAACATTCATTAGTGTCCCCCTTTCTTGCAATCAGGCAGTCCCACCTTCTTATACCCTGCATTCTTCTAAAAAGCACAAATATCAACCCAACTCACAACCAGACTCCACCCAATGGTGGATTCTCAATAAAGATCAAACCAGTAGCAGGCAAGAAAGCAGCATTCCAGGGAGGGCAGCTCACTGTATTTGGGCCCCTTACTCAATCAGTGTTCACTTCGGCCTTGGCTGTGCCACCTACCCCAAGCATTGCTGCACAGCCCACATCACTAGTGTCTGTTTCTGTGTTCCTAGTTTGAAAATTGCCTGCCTGTGGGCTGAAAGTGCTCCCAATTTTAACATTTGTTTTGAGCCCACATCTGCCCACTCATCCTACAGGCAAAGATGTTTTGCATGGATCTTGATTAAAAGCGAACAAACCAGAAGGAAATGCTTTTCCCCCAACCGTGCTGGCATGGTCTCCTCTCTTTATAGGTGCCTATTTGCTGGCCATGTTATTCTTAGCTTTCCTGTTCTTTCAGTGGACATTCGGGGCCTGTCCAGCTCTCTCACTGGGAAGTTTTATGGGCTCAGTGTAATCGCTGACTAAATGATTTTCTCCTTTGTCTCAGAAGAATGAATGGTTGGATCAGACCAAGGATGCGTATTTGATATTCTGCTTGTTCTTGCAGAGCAGATGACTTCCATTACTGAATTTTAAGGGAGTTATTTAGAAAATAATAAAACTAACAGCTAAGCACTGATTCTTTTTTGTCTGCATCCTGCCTCATTGCCAGCTTTACCATAATTATGTCATTCAAGGAAAGATTCAAACCATTTCCCTTCCCTGGCATTTCTGTGTTTCAAAAAGGCAAAATTATGGCCATATTTCTAAGGGAATACATCACATGCAACTGTAGAAATGGCTTTATATACTGTCATTCGGGATTTTGAAAATTTATGGAGTGAAATCTTGAAAAGTATGGCAAAGGGAGTTGAGTTGAGAGTGGTTCTGCTGACAGGGTGAAATTAGTGGAGGTGACACTGATCTCATTGGTGAATGAAAAACCCAAGGAAAAAGAAATGGAGGAATCACTGGGAATCTATGAAATATTTGTAGTGTTTTTTCTTGAAAGAACACACACAAAGTTGTAGTTTTACCCAGTTCATAAGCCAGCAGTCAGGGTATGGAAACATCAATAATAGCCTAAGTGTGACCCTAGCATGATGTGTTTTTTATCATGCTAGGGATGATGCTTTTATTATGGGATGTTAGCTGCAGTGAAGAGGCTCAAATGATCTTTAAACCTCCCAACTATTCATTGTGAATTGCCTTCTGCCGACCTGCAGCTCTAGGTCAGGGCTTTCCAACGGAACTTTCTGGGAGGATGGGAATGTTCTATATCTATGCTGTCCAAAGGTATAGCCCCTAGCCACATGTGGCTACTGAGGCTTGAAATGTGGCTAGTGCAAGTGAGGACCTGAAATATTAGTTTAACTTTAGTGAATTTTAATTTAAATGAACATAATCATATTTGGCTACTGCTATCATTTTGACAGTGCAGCTCTAGATCTTTAGAAGTCCCAAACCTTCTTGGATGGGTGGAGGGGCCACATTGGTAGAGATTCAAACTTCAGTTGGCTTAAGGAGGTGCCTAAGCAAAGAAAGAGTGAAGTTCCATTTTGATCCCAGTCTGGTTTACACTCGAGAAAAGTCCCTCCTTCCCCACTCCAAGAAGGCAGAAACATTTCTGGAAGGCAGGAGGCTGGGCTCCATATCCCCTGTTGTTTTTAGCATCTGCTGCTCTGTTGGGCAAGTGGGGCTGCAGAGAGTCAGCCAGGCTCCCGCAGGGTCAGCAAGACAGGGGTTGAGAAGATCCACATTTAGGGTTAGTGTCATTAGCATTCTGTCAGGAGGAATGACTCAATTTCACATTAAAGCCCTTTAACAATGTAGACTAATATGAGGTGCTTATTATCCATAATGAGCTTTTGTGTTTCCATGCATGATACTGACAAGAAGTTGTTGAATTCATGGCCTGGTTGTTAAAATTCATGATGTTTTAAAACAGCAGTCCTAGAGTCTACGCCAGTGGACCGAGCAGGAGTGGAAAGCTCCCCAGCAGCGGACGCCACAGAACTTTCGCCTTGCAGGTCACCCTCAACTCCTCGGCACCTCCGCTATCGCCAGCCTGGAGGTGAGAGCTCAGAAAGGGACTCAGAAATATGAACATAAAAGATGAGTTCTAGCTTTGGAATCTTTTGTTTGCCTTACTGTTTCACTCCTGAAGTATTTTTTAGTCTCATTTATGAACATGAGTGCGAAGCAAATAATGTTGCTATAGCACCAAGGAGTAGAAAAATAAGTGATTAGAGGATATGCCATTAGTATCACCAATCTTTATTTGACCCCATTATTACATTGCACTTTGTGTGGAGTGATAGGAATCAGGAGACCTGTGCTAGTTGGTTGCCAGTTGAAGAATCTCAGTGCTTGTTTTACCAGAATGCTGCCAGACTGTTCCTTTACCATGAATTCCAGTGTAGCCTGTGTTAAATAGGTTCATCTGGGACACCGCAATTTTGGAGTAACTTTATTAAGAACACTATTTCATGTAAAATATGGTCCAGTTGCATGGGACCCCAACCTTTATTATTGCTAGTGGCAGAAACTGGTATATTGGCTATAGTTATGAAAACTATAAAGTATTACCCCATAATTTGTTTTGGGACATATACCAAGTGTCCTCTAATTGGAGGAAAAACCGTCGGAACAAACAACAGAAATCTTTTATAACCCCATTTTCCCATTGCTCAAATAAATATATCCAAATAACAGTTGTTTTTGAAATGTTTCCTTTTTTTCTCCTAAGGCCAATTATTTCAAGTTGGAAGAGAAAAGTGTACAATTATGAAACCAGATTCGCCCCAAGTAACTGAAGTAAAATGTAAAGACATTTTTTTGGCTTTATTACTTGAGCTTCAAGTAGTGCAGTTTAGCAAAAGATAGAATGCTTGGCTCTGGATACTCATTTTGTTTGTAGCCTTAGCCATGTTGTAGAAGCTGTTGTCATTGCCATCAGCTCCAAGATCAGCCAGCCTAGGTCAGGCTCTTGTCAGATTTACCCTGATGGATGTTAACCCTTGGGAAATGGACTGATTTTAGGTTCCTGGTCTATTATGCATATGTCAACCTGACATTTGGGTGGTTCTGATATATAAAAGTGACAAACTAGACTTTCCTGGCTTGTCATAAAATTACTGTGTTCTTAGCCAAATATCTTTACTATTCTTAGAAACTTGTCACTTCCCTGATCATTGCCCACAGGACAGACCCCCTTGAATTCATCGTAACTTGGAAGAGTTTGGGGCCAAAGCCCATGAAAGCAAAACTCTGCCAAGGCAAGAGTTAAATGCTATTCACATGGTTACTATTATTAGGGCTTTGTTTTATAGTCTCTTTTCATATATTTATATTCACATGCAAACTTCTTAATTTATATAAGCATTTTTTGGAAATCCTCATCCTGTTTGTGGGTTAACTAAGTCTTTTGTTTCTTCCCTGATATGACTAAATCATAGAAACATAGGAACATGGGAAGGAAGCTGAAGTCTGTGATAATATGGAAAACTCAAATGGGGGCACTGTCACACATTTTCTCACTGTGTAGCTGAAATTTCGCGTGTTCATCTGTCTACTTGCCACCTTGTTCCACAAATGTTTTAAGGCTCTTGCTGAGGAGAGGGTAGAGCTGTTCTGTGCTTTCAGGCATGGGCACATTAACCAGCTCTTTGCTTCCCTTTGTATTTATTTAAGTATAACTATATAACTTAGGGGCAAACTAATAAAACCCCTTCAGGTCACAATCACAGTGAACTCTTTTCACTAAAAACCTGAGTGAGGAAAAACAGTGAAATTAGCATCAAGAATATCAAATGCTGTGTGTAAACTATCTGAAGCGTGAGAGGGACTGCAAAAAGGCACTGAGCACATTTTCTAAAAATTTTATTTTAGAATGCAGTCCCACTTTTAAAAGTGTTTTGATAGAAAAATTCGATTGGTAACATGAAGTAGAAATTTTTTTTAAAATTATTTTTCATGTTGAGATACAATTTACATATCAAGTTCACACTTTTAAAGTATACAGTTCAGTGGTTTTTAATATATTTACAAGGTTGGACAGCCATAACCACTATTTTATTTTAGAACATTTTCATGTTCCCCTCAAAAGAAACTCTGTACCCATTATTCAGTCCCTAGTTTTTTTTCTCCCTGGCTGCTGGCAACCACTAATCTATTTTCTGTCTCTATGGATTTGCCTATTCTGCACATTTAATATAAATGGAATCATACAATATGTGACTTTTTGTAACTTTCACTTAGCATGTGTTTTCAAGTTTCATTCATGTTGTCGTGCATATCTATTTCATTCCTTTTTGTGGCTAACTAATAGTCCCTGTATGGGTATGCCACATTTGACTGTTTCTCCTATTTGAAGTTATGAATAATGCTGCTCTGGATAGCCATGTATAAGTTTTTGTGTGGCTATATGTTTTCATTTTTCTTGGGTGTATATCTAGAGTGGACTTACTGATATAGAATTTTGTTATTTGCCTAGTAACGAGAAAAATACAGAGCAGTTGGCCCAACCCGTCATCCAGTGCAGGAATAAATATGAGAATTTTCATTGCAAAGTATTATCCATCTGCCTCACCATGCCATTTCTGTCCTTTCTAAATAACCAGGACAGACGGCCGACAGCTCCCACTGCTCTGTTTCGCCTGCTTCCGCTTTTGCAATTGCCACAGCTGCAGCAGGACATGGGAGTCCACCAGGTGAGTAGGGGACAGCAGCTAAATACAGACACATGGCAACTTACAATTTAAACAGTGGCCCTTGCCTGCCAGTGTCATGATATACACTGAGCAGCGTATTAAGAATGCAGATTCCCTTATTGGAATAACTGTGCATGATGCCAGATGGTTACTAGACTTATTGGGGTGATCCCTTCGTAAGGTATATAAAATGTCTAAATACTATGTCGTACAGCTGAAGCTAATATAATATTGTCTTGTCAACTATAATTGAAAAATAAAAAAAGAATACAGATTCCAAGCTTTCACTCTAAGTCAGCATGTCTGGGGTAAAACTGTCATTTAAATAAGCACCTTGAGGTGAGTCTCACACAGGTGGTCTGGGGGTGACACTTTTGAGGATTTTTTGTATCAGAGAAGGATGTGTTGTTTCTCCCGTGGTGTTTTAGGGAGTTCTATAACCTTTTTAGCTATGTTACTGTGAACATGCATTTCCCTTTTAATTGAGTATAATGCTAAAAGCATATGCAAGGTGGGAGGGAAGGCTTGTGAAAGGGAGAGGGAGGTGGGAACGATTGCTTTAGCTGACTCATAATTTATTTCCAGGACCTCCACGATGCTTTCCGAGCTGCTCTTCATTTCAGGGTAAAGAAGTTCTTAAATGCACAGTATTTTAGTAGATGAAAAGCATATTGTCTCTATCCTCTTCTGTCATGTGCAAGGAGGACATCGTGTTAAAATAAACCTGTATGTGGTTTAAACAGCCTTGTTGCTGTGAATGTCTTCACCTGAGCTAACCC